TGATATTCGCAACAGTATATTCGCCTCCATAAACAGTTAATGTTTAAGGTACTAACAGTGGAGGGTTAACAAACACATTCATCGAGTCCAGTTTGTACAGAACAAAACCGAAAAAAACACTACTATAAACCTTGATTGTAATGTTGTGGTTGATATACAACTAAATTACTGAATGCAGAAATTACATAACGAAGCTCAAATATAAACAATTTCTGCATCAGTCTTGAGATATGGGCAGAAACATACCAGCCAAGATAACATTCCAAATATGTGTTGGGGGTACTTTGGAAACAGCTATTTGGTAGGCATCTGGATTAGCTTCCATTCGTTCATAAGCTCCAGAAAGATGCATCCAAACTGTTGGGCGAATGTGATCCGGTATTCCCTTCCGACAAAACCTTTTAACTAAAACAATAAGGTCAAATAACTCATGACATACATCTCGCACTCTTTTTGGGTGGAAGGGTAGAGAAATACTTTTCCCAACGAGAAACTCTTCTCTGAAGTACTGACTCATAAGTCTGAACAAAGTCGGAATATTCATCGTCCTCAACGTATTCTGGCGATTCAAAACCCCGGTCTGGAAATTTCCTATAGAGAATAACATAATATCAACTAATGGTAAACACAAACTGCTCATCTACGGAACTCATGAAAACCAAGGTCATACATAAATTCGAAATAATTTCGCACAGTTCAAATGGTTCAAATGGATCACAGTGACCTTGGTGAAAGCCAAAACATGAGAAATCTAAGAAAAGGGGCTGTTTTGACTCTTTTTCGTCTTTTTGAGGATGACGTGACCAACAAAAAATATAAAGTCTGTCGTTTTCATTTAACTAGGTGTATTAGTGACTATACCTGTGAAAAAGTTTGAAATTCAGATGAAAGAAATGAAATCGATACCTTGCTTTTTCACATATAGTTAGTGACAGGCTCTTGAGGTCATATGTCCATATGGGCATATGTGTTATATAACATGTGTTATCAGGCGCCTTTTGTTAGAATGGAAATTGATATATTTAATTAACAACAAATAGCTTCACGACTGATAAAGAGCATGCGTGTTCACGTCTCTATTTACGGATAGTTCGTGATTTGGAACAAAGTACCATAGCTATTCATATTTCTTCATAAACCCTCAATTTTCGAGTTTTTTTTCAGTTTCAGTTTGGAAAGAACAAGAGACTTGATGGTCTGTGTCAGTCGTGAAAATGGTAGTCTCTCAGTCGATCCAACTTTCTTTTGAAAGAGTCGACAGATAGAATCTCAACACCATACTGAGTTAGTGAATTCCACTCGTTGATGATTCGATGGGAAAGTCTATAGTCAGCTGACAAGTAATTTGTTCTGGGCTTGTGAACATTTTTGGAGTGTCTTCGTAAATTATCTGTTTTGGGAGACAAGGGAAATGAGGGCATAGCAGGTGCAAATTTATCACTAAGCAATTTGAAAATTGTGATCAAGTCGCCTCTAGTTCTACGATATGACAACGGGAATAGTTTTAGTTTGGCCAGTGAAGCATCATACAGAAGCTTTGCTATTCCGGGAATCAGCTTAGTTGCTGTACTCTGAACCTACTCCAAAAGCTGACTGTCTTTTTTAAGTAGGGGCTAGCCGCTTGTATGCAGTACTCAAGTTTAGGACGTACGAACACTGCATTACTTGAGATATTAAGATGAAATATTTTACGGAATCTGCAGGAACGTGGTTTTTTCAGTCTCATAGGTCATGTTTCACGGCTGTTTCAATTGCCGTGTAGCGGTTGTTGGCTTCGGTCTAGCTCTATTTTCAGTCTTCAGTAATAGTTTTATTTGGTTAGTGGATCTGTGTTGATGCTTACAGTTTGTCTTTTAATGAAGTTTCAGCCTTTCTTTAAAGACGTTCATTGATGGGGCTAATATCACTAGTTTGGGTAAGGCATTTAAGTAATTGACCACATAATGAGAAGAACGGAATCTTACTCTGCGTTTATTAGATCACGGGTTTTGAACCTTCTTGTTATGTTGTCGAAGATTATTAGTGCTGGATGGAGCAAACAGATAAGAAATATTAACATCCAAGTTGTAATTAAACGCCACCTGACGTTCTACAAAACGATAAAAAGAAAAATTTTAGACGTTTTAAGCACTCCCCTTAAGAGAGTTTGGACAGACCATTCCACAATTTTGATCCCATAACACACCAAAACCTTTGGCAGCTGTTGCATTGCAATGCATAGTTGTTTACAAGTCATGAATTACCATTACCCATAAGTCTTTGAGGTCCTACACGCATGGAAGAGATGTGCCGTCATTAATATACTGGTTACTACTTTCGTGTCCAATGAGCATGAGCCCACTCTTTCTTGAATTGGTTTCTAGGCCCTACCATTTGGACCACCTAACTAGTTAGTCTAGGTTAGCTTCGGGAGAAAAATAACCAGCCTCATTCTTAATTGTCTTCCAGATTTTGACATCATCCGCAAATAACAATGTTGATGAATTAAGCAATCGAGAGTAATTTATTGATGTAGAGAATGAAAAGTAGGGGACCAAAGATGGTGCCACTTTTAACGGGCTTCCGTTTACACAGTGTCCCATTTACCCTCACCCTTGTCTTCAGCCCTATAAGAAGTTGTTTATCCACTCTTGTACAGCACCTGCTATTCTGAAGCTCGAGAGTTTCTTTACAAGACCTAGATGAGAAAGCTTTTCTAATACTTTGCTAATGTCCGTAAATGTCACATCGACAGACATGCAATTAGTTAGGGCTTATGTCCAAACCTTGCTCGCAATATTTAAGTTGGTTGAGCGTGAATTCTTGTTTTGAAACCCGTGTTGCTCGGGAGTCAACAGATTGAATGGTTCCATGTAACTTAATAACTTAACTTGAATTGCCTTTTCAAGTATATTAACTACTATGCTGGTCAGACTGACAGCTCGGTAGTTAGATACGATCTGTCACAGACTATCCTTAAGTATAGGATTAACTAGCACAGGTTCTATAGCTGGTATCTCTGAGCTTTTGTTATAACAATTATTGTTAACAATGACGTTAGTTTAAGCTTCTCTGAAATAGTTTGATAAGGTCTCAGCTTTGGCCAGATCTGATTTAGCCGATATATCTGAATTTTCGTGCAACTGTAGTGTAATGTATGAAAAAATCGTTTTGAGCAATTAAGGCTAACATATACCAACTGTCTTTCGAAAATGGTACGACATCCAGCTGTGGTCTTTTTACATATATCTTCGTGCCAAGTTTCCCAGAGGATAAATATTTTATGCTATAAAATCACGTAACTTAGTAAACCGAATCTGTCTTCGGACCAGTTCTTAGAACCTCAGAGTAACGTTTCTTTAAACTTCACCTATGTGATTTATTCGTTAACATTCTTTAACTTCTAGCTGGAAATAATTTATACAATACTACATTTACCACTTACTTTTATACTGTCAAAGTAATAATGTTTATCCCTCTTCCTTCTCAATAACTATTTATTCATGTATCTTGATGTGATTTTTGACGTCACAGCGTTTTTTATTAGAGCGTTTATTGTATTATTTATTCAACTATAAGGGTGCTAGTTTTCGTCAATTTAGAGTTTGATATGGATGTGCTAGTTGCCGTCGCCCCTACTCACAGTTGCTTCTTGGCTTGATCACACATAATTGTTATTTTCTATTTTATTGTTATGTGATCGGGCATGCCTGCATATACACTGCGCTTGCTTGAAATGTAATATTAGTGGAGGCTGATTGCTGATTCCTGGATTCAAACTGCAGGGCAGAAAGAGAAGCTATGGAATCGTGGATCAGTAAGATCTTGGCAGTTGACTCAAGGTTACTAGTACTTGTTGGACGTATCATTGGTTAACACAGGGACACTAAATCATAGAAACTAGACTCTGATTGTTGGCTTTGTCACATGATATCAGTAGGCTACCATAAGTCATAACAGGTAAACCAGTATGTCCTGGATTTCGACCTTAGATGTAGAGTTCTAGGTAAAAGTAGTAGGACGTTTATTAATTTTTGTCTACGTAGGAGCTTGGAGCCTACATAATACTCGTAGTGGATGGTTGGAGGCTTTGAGTAAGATGACGCAAAACCTCTCAATGATGCAGTTATATCCACTGTCCATCATCCAAATCTGGAGTTGTGGAAAATTCCCAAAGTTTCATTCTTTGGTCGTATTTTTATTTTCGAGTCATTTTCTTTTTACCAAAAGTTTCATTACTTTTTGGTGTTGTCTCCCATTCTCTCTCTGTCATTTTGTTGATTTTTTTTCAGTGTTCTAATGTAAGGTAGAGGAGATTAGACGGATTCACAATTGTTTTAGTTCATAAGTTTGTGATAGCTGACTGATACTAATCGAACTAGGTAGTCTAAAAATTCGTCAACCCAGGCTATGTTGAATAGAATAAAAGTAAACTAGAAAAGTGGGGGGAACTGGGACAGGTCATAGACTTCGCTTATAATTTTACTAACTGTTGTTATAAGCCGTGTCAAGAGGGTCCTCAATACAGCTGTAATATACAACCATAGAGTTAGTGATATTGATGAAATTAATTTCAGTGAAGGAGATCTGGTCATTGATTGCTTTTACTGAAATGTTAAATACGGGATTGTTCAATAAATTTTATTCTCTGATTCCGTTCGTTTCAACTGATTTTTTTGTGCTCATTTACAAAGAAAAGATAGAATATGGCTACCGGTGGAATCTCTCTGTTCTCAGTACATGTTAAACATTTGCTTTTCTTATCACTTTGTTTCTGAAGCTTATGAAGTAGTACCTCTACATCTTCGTGCTAGGCTTAACGTTGTTGATACTTATTTGTTGATTTGCGTTTTCGTTTTCTATTTATACTCGTTTTGCATGATGTACTACTACTAATTCCATCCAAAATATAAATCATAACCACTCTGTAATCTTTGACTTTTATTTTAAATAATTTTAATATCAGTGGATTTCAGTTCAAGGAATTAGATATTTTGATCGACTTTGAATTGTCACCTCCTATGAATCATACAAGGGCTTTACACTTTGTTATCAAAGTGGCCAATCGTAATGAAACAATTGATTTTTACAAACGGATTCTTGGAATGAAGGTATGTTAATGTATGCACTCTAGATGAAAACAAGTGTATATATATATATATATATATATGCGTGTATGTAAGTGATAATAGTGCAAACTTTAGCTGGTTGTGCTTTATTTTATTGATGTTTAGTTGAATAATACATTTTTTTCAATAGTCCACAAGTTCACTTGACTACACTTCTTCCAATACACATACAAAAGAGTTTAATTATTCGATAAATGTATAAATGTTTTTCTAAGCATTTTGAGTTTGTTAGCTCAAACGATTATTCACAATAATTTTTAATCATTTCGGCCAAATATTTTCTATACACTAGTTTAAAAATATTTAAGTGATTTTGAGTTTGAAAATTTCTATGGATTCATGTTAACTAGATAATGTTACTTACTTACTTACTTACGCCTGTCACTCCTCGTGAAGGAGCATAGGCCTCTTACCACCATTCTCCATCCAACCCTTTCCTGGGCAATCCTTTCCAGCTCCTTCCAGTTGTTATTCATCCTTTCTATATCTGCTTCTATTATCCGACGTAATGTGTTCTTTGGCCTTCCTCTTTTCCGCTTCCCTTCAGGATTCCAAGTTAGGGCTTGCCTCGTGATGAAGTTTGATAATTTGCGGAATGTATGTCCTATCCATTTCCATCGTCTTTTCCTAATTTCTTCTTCAGCTGAAAGTTGTTTTGTTCTCTCCCAGAGAACGCTGTTGCTGATGGTATCCTGCAACTAGATGAAGTGCTATTTTGTAAAACTACATCATAAATACTACTATTTTCCAATTAATTCTACATTGAAGCTATAGAGATGATATTTTGTATAGTGATAAAACTTATATCAACCAAAATGTCGGTTAGAAATGTGACCTAGTGTTAGTATATTGGATTTAAAAAAATATTGATAAAGATAATATGTGTCCAGTTTTTTTTTAACTTTATATTACTACTTATATAACAGAAATTGGATAAAAGTAAGAGGCTCCATAGAACATAAATATAATGATCAACAAGCTTAGTATCTTATGGTTTGCAATTAGTAAAAAGAATTAGTCACCTACTGAAACTTGCCTGGTTTCTTCTAATGTAGTTCAATTGAAACTGTTAATCTCAAAATCGAAACACAACACGTTTCCCCATGAAGTTTGTAACATTTTAGTTAGTGGTATAATTAGTTTTTCTGTAGTTGTGTAAAATTCAGGCTATTAGGGCAAAAATTATCATATGTGGAGTAGTTTTGTTCATCTCTATCAGCGAACTTCATTTTCGAAATTGTCAGTGACTTTCCTGTCATTTAAGGTAAATCATGAGATGAGTAATAATGAAGTTAGATGTGGTGTATAAGGTAAAGAACATTATTCAGTGGATAAGACTTTAATTTGTCGTCGACTAGGTTGTCTAGGATAGGAGTTGTATGTAACTATTCTATTTATTGACGCACAATGGTGGCTAGTAAAGGGTTATTTTCATAATTCACTAGGAGCGCCCAAAGTAAAATATAGCTGTGTTTTCGGTTAGAACTGTATATATTGCTTAACTTCTAAGCATTAGGGTTTGATGAAATGCCATACTTCATTCAACAAAGCTTTTTTATTTTTCACACACCCGAAAATGTTTTGGCGAATATGTTCTTCATTAGAGAAGAATTAAAAATAACTTTTGATTAGAATTAAAGTCGATGTAACAAAAGCCATATTTCTTCTTGAGATATTTATAATTGATAAATATAGTATTCATGTAATCCGTATTCGTTTAAAGGCTGCATAAAATTGAATACTTTATGATTTGATTATAGTGAATAACACGTAGATTGTAACTGAATTACCATAATAAATACTAACTATGTTGATCCAATTATATATTTACTCTTAGAGAAAATAAACCTAGTGAAATGTTCATACTAAATAAAAAGTATGAAAAATAACGGTTGACTGTAATTTGACGGCTTCTCTTGTCAAAGTAGCTAATGAAATGTGACTAAAATTTGTGTGACTATTTTGTGGTTGAAGTGAGTACGAAACGCGGACAGTGACCAGAATTTGAGTGCCTAAGCCAATACGATATCAACTAGGAAGTGTATTTTCCTATATTCAGACGCTTATTATTGGTTTGATCACGTGTTACAGTCTACCCATATCCTTCTGGCTAGTCTAAGTGTTGGTTGTGCCGTATGTGCTATTAATGTCGATAGATATAAGTAGTATATATCATTTATCGAAAGTGGAATGACTGACGACAGAAGGTTGAGAAAATCGAAGCGAAGAGAGAATTTGGTATCGAAACAACCAAACAACCAAGTCAGAGACAATTGACGAGTATTTTGCAAATGAGGTTTTGCTGTATGGTTCTCAGGTTTTACCAAGATATTCTGTAATATTGTGTTAAAATACATTTGGTTTTCCCCACTTAAGTTCTCGTTCACTACAGTTGCTTAAATCTCTCGATGACTCATTCGCTTTCCTATATATATGTGCTTCTAAAATCTTATCAATTCACTCGCCCCTAGTTCGCATTCACTTTCATTCGCATTCCTGCTCGCACTCACTTTGTGTGACTGTGGCTTTAGGATATGAGCTGTACAGTGACAAAATATAGTCGATGCTTCGCATTGTCTTCTGAAATGTATATACAGTCGGGATTTATCAAACAATGGTTGTCGCGACTAGTGATCTACAAAGCCTTAAGAATTATCTTGAAAATAATTCCCGTACTGTAGTTATACTTAGTTTTATTTAAAACAAGGATGATATTTAGTTTGTCAATTAGCAAAACGACCCTCTTTTCCTGCTATAACTGTCATTAATGGAAACCGGCTGAAAAACTAGGTACTTGACTATTAGATGTTATAGTCTAGCCGGTAAAGAATTACGACTACGAATTGGATCTTATTAGTTCTTTAATTTCATTTTGGATCCATAGGTAAATGGATCTAAGAGTTGAGGTTATTCTATATGGTATGATGGCTGAAATATTTTTTCATAACTTGATCATTATTTGTTTCTTATTTACTTGTTGCTTGATCACTTCACAGGTGTTACGACATGAAGAATTTACTGAAGGTTGTAAAGCTTCATGTAACGGGTAATTAACCTTAATCAATATTGATTCACATCATTCATTTAGACCATATGATGGGAAGTGGAGCAAAACCATGATAGGTTATGGACCTGAGGATAATCATTTTGTTGTTGAATTGACTTATAATTATGGGATTGGTGCTTATCAACTTGGTAATGATTTCCAGGTGCGTTTTTTGTCTGTTTCATCTCTCCTAAATGATAACAGTATATTCTTATTCATAATAAGGATGCATATTCAAGAATTATCGGTGGATCATGGCCTATCACATTGAAAGAGTCGAATTCAGTAAAAGTGGAAGCTCCTGGTGGATATGCATTTTGGGTGCATAACAGTGATAGTAACGGGGATCCAGTCCAAATGGTGGCTTTATCTACTTCAAATCTCAAACGATCCATTGGTATGCTGTATTTCTACTCTCCTTCCTAAAAACTTTCTTCTATTATTATACAGATTATTGGTCTCATAAACTTAGTATGACACTTGTGTCATCTAGCTCAGATGAAGCGGTGCTTTGTTATTCACCAAATCAGTGTAGTTTAAAACTAATTTCCATTCAAAAGCCCATTGATCATGCCAGCGCATTCGGTCGTATAGCTTTTGCATGCCCAACTAGTCAAGTAACACTTATTTTAAACATAATTAATAATTTACCAATAGTTACCAATCTTACAACAAACAATGGATTCACAAAATGAAACGATTCTTACTCGTCTAGTCAGCTTGGATACGCCAGGAAAAGCTACTGTACAAGTGATTATTTTAGCTGATCCAGTAGGTTTATTCTTTTGTTGATTTGTATCACTTTTGTACAATTGAAGCTGTTGGGCAATTTCCATAATTTCCCAATTGTTAACTGGAATAATATATCTTCTTTATACCTGCCAGTACGTTATAGAAGGTCTTTAGAGGACGATTCAACAAGACTAATGAGAAAATGTAAATCGTACGTGATAAAGCTGTGGTGATGCCAAGTGTGTAGACTGGGATTTCGGGCTTTTGATTTACACAAAGCAGTATGCTTAATAAGAAGGTGAGAGTATATCAGCTCGAATTTCTAATTAAACTCAAATGCAATCTAATGGGCCATTGGATGGAGTTATCATTAGGCGAAAGACAGAAGATAAGCAAGTTTAACTCGAAATCTGTAACTTTGTAATTCTAATGTGTCGGGTTTACTAAGATACAAATAAACATGAACTATCTTTACAGTTCAGTAGCAACAATACATAGAATGTTGAAAAAACAAGTTGCAACATAATTTGGGGATATTTAAGAACTACTGGCTTACCAAGTTTGATCGTAACTACACAGGTTATTCAAGTTGTAAAGTTAGGTCGCTTAATGCATATGCGAACCTGAGTCAATTAAAATGGCTTATATATACGTTATGCATGGTGGGTAATTGTCTGATTTTGAGTGAGCAACACTTTTGTTTTACAAGAAAATCACAGATAAAGGAAGTATGTCAGTTGTTGACTAAATAGATCAGTGATTAAATAATAAGATTACTCGACTTTGAGCCACGTAGTCGCGGGTCCGAACTCCGCTGAACCTTTTTCAGTTTAGTCGAACGGTCAGTGTCACTAGTCCTTACACTTATATTTGTGATCAAAGCCAAGTACATGGACTCATACTTAATAAATAATTAAGTAGAAAATACTAAAAAATGAATAAAATAGAGGGAACGCGTCTAGCCTGTATTTAGCCATTGTTTATTTTACTCTGGTATCATAACAAAAGTAGTGACAGTCTATCCATAAAAAGAGGAAACTTGCAGTAGAATAAAGGAAATTTGAGCTCCACGGCAATCTACACCATTGTACAAATTGTTTTTTTCGTATACACGACTTGCGACTCATTTGATGTTTTTTTTATTTATTTACTATGCTTGATTCGACTGTTCATTGTGCATTTTTTCGTAAAATCACTCTGTTATTCAATTGTTTAACAAATTGGACGTCTATAATTATGATGTTAACTATAATCACAATCTGTCTAATTTAGCTCATGTGATAGGATAGTGTCGTTAGCCCATCATAAAATGAATGTGATGTGTGGTATTGGAAGTAAGATATGATTGGTGGTTGAGCGTGAACGAGCAGCCACAGCCTACGAACTATTAAATATGTGATCTACCTTCTTGTCATTGATTTCTACTCCAAACTGATTGAGTGTGACTGTTTGTAATTGTATTGGATAAAGTGTTATCTAGTGTTAATTTGGTTCTCTATTTTGGGTCGTGAATCTTGGTTCCGATAAAACGTGATTAGTATTATTATCATCGTGTTAACGTATCTTCATAATATATGTGAGAGAAAAAACAAGTTGTTTTAAACCATCCATTATACCAGAGTTTCACTGCTATTTGACTTTGTACTGAATTTAGTATGGATCTTCTTTTCTGTTTACTTAATTACCTCTTATTTAGGACGGTCATGAAATCTGTTTTGTTGGAGATGAAGCTTTTAGACAGTTGTCAAAAGTGGATTCACAAGCGGATAATCTACTACAATCAGCTATAGCCTCAGATAAAAGTGATGAATGGTTCAATAAACATGGAGGCAAGACAACGAAATAAAACGATCGTTTTCAACTCATTGAATCTTGTGTTTACGGTATCATGAATTGTTATGTGTGGAATGTCTGATTTTTTTATTGTTTATTTTTCTCCAATAATATACAATTTTATACAACATTCTCGTAGATTATTTAAACAACCATTCATTGGATAGTAAGATATAATTTTTATACCGTAAAATGTATTTAGGCTCAATGTGTAGTTTTGGTCCAGTTGAAAACAATTTAAAATATACTTGGAAATTGTGAATTCAAAACTTATATCTGTTACCATTGAGCAAACGTTGACATGAGTTTTCATAGAATTTGACAAAGGGAAATTAACGGAATCAATATATTGACATAACACTGATTGTTGTGGTAAATACTCACCTATTTTCAGTCGGACAAGAAGGTTTACGATAATATTGCAAACAGCACATAATAATGAAATATGTCATTAGTCAGTAAATATACTTACATACTTACAGACACACACACGCCTGTTACGCTTCGTGTAGCATAGGTCGTCGACCAGAATTCTAAAACCAAATCTTTCCTAAGCTTCCCTTTCCAGTTCTCGGGAGGTGCTATTCATTCTTTAGATATTTGTTTCGAATCCCCGGCACAAAGTGTTCCTCAAGGTCAGAGGAGAAGAGGAAGACCAAAGAACACAATACGCCTAGAAATGTAGGCAGGTATGAGAATAATGAACAATAATTGGATAGAAATAGAAAGGAAGACCCAGAAAAGAGTCGGTTAGAGAATGCTGGTCAGCAGTCTATGCTCCATTTGGAGTAGCAGATGTCAGTAAGTAAGTAATGTTCTTCACTGTAGGGATGCTGCACTTGCTTTTCTAGTCTATGTCTTCAAATCTGCATCCGATCCTCATTGTTTACCATTGATGCTGCTCAGGTAAATGGAAGTTTTCATCTCTTCCATAGCTTTTCCAAGTGTGATTGGGTTGTGCTTGTTGTGACCTATTGATGCAGAGGCTGTTGCTAAAGTGGCTTTCTTCACCTGCAATTGTTGCTCTGTATGAGGTATAAGAGCTAGGTTATCTACGAAGTCCAAATCGTCTAGTCGCATCCTACTTGTTTATTGTATTCTCTGCTCCATCTGAGATACTCAGGTCTTCATAATGCAGTCGACCACTAGAAGAAAGAAAAGGGTTGAGACTAGGTAGCCTTGTCTGACTTCTATCGTCACTTGGACTGGATCTGTCAGCCGTCGTCCGTGCACGAATGTCGTCCGTCGTATGAATTCCGGTTGAAGTTGACGATTTTCCCAGGTATACCATAGTGTCGGAGATGGTTCCGTAAGGTTCTCCTATCCACGATGCTAAACGCTTTCTCACAGTGAACGAAGTTGATGTATAGTAATGAGTTCCATTCAATTAACTGTTCAGTGATGATTCGTAATGTTACAACTTGGTTTGTGCGCGATCGATCCTTACGGGATCCAGCCTGTTGGTCTGGAATATGGCCGTCTACTGGACCTTTCATTCGGTTTACCAACATTGTTGAAAAAAAATATATATTAGTGTGGAGCCATAGTGAATAACTTGTGGAAAATAAATATTTCTGTCTTTTTATATTCTTCTAAATGTCTAAATTGAATTCTCTCTTTGTTGAGTTTTTTTTATTCACCTGCCCTCAGTACCAGTTCATCTGAATTCATGTAAAATTTTGAATGAAGATAAGTGTCTATAACTGACTGATTTGATGTTCAACATCAGAACTATTGACTGATATCCATTCATATCGTTTTCACATTCTCTGCAGTTATGACTTCAAATTAATATACATTGAAAAGATTCACAAATTACGACAAATACCCTACACCCATAGTTCATAAATAAAAAATCTAAATGGATTAACATTGATAAATTTAATTCATGAGTTAATTGAAAAGTGTTGTGAACACTTTTTGTTTGTAGGAAATAATCAATAAACAAAGAAAATAAATTAAATCAAATGCGCGCCGAAATAGAAAGCTCATTTAAATGTTTAAACGATAAGCAATTTTCATTAGAAATCAAATCATGTTCAATGGTTAATGTTTGTATTCAAAAGAATATTGACTATATTTAACTTAGGTTTTCATTAAAGTACATTTGCTGCTGAGTCCACAGTTGAGTGAACATGAACTCAATGAATAGAATAAGATTATAAATATTAAGGTGAAACATTAACCATATAGAACTGTGATGATGATGATGATGAATATCAGACATTATCTCGTTTATGCAAGAAGATTATTCGTAGTAAATAACTGTTGTTTTGTAGTTGGAATTCTGTACATGAATATCTAGACAAATACATCATGAATTGGCAAGGCGAACTATGTTCTAAAAAGTTTGTGATTTACATTTAATGAAATTACAGATTCCAGATTCACTATTGTTAAATAAGAAAGAAAGATTAGTTCAGCGAAGAGTTCTCTTTTCAGCGAATTCATTTTCAAAGCTGTACAATCGCAGATATATATACTTATTTTTACAGGGTGATAATAATACTGATAATAAACTTCTGTTATACATAGTGACAGTGAGGTTAAATAAACAAAGGCACAAAAAGCTTAATATCAGACCTCACTAAAAGTTTAAAAACTACAGAAACACAGCACAACTTTCCTAACAACCCTGAGAAATATGTGTTTAATCATTCTTCAATATCGTTGACAAATGTACAATTAGAAGCCTAATCTTTGGGGATAAAATTCTGCGACATAAATGAAAAAGTTAACAAAATCAACACACATGTTCAATTCGAAAATTTAATCAAACAAACAAATGGTCTTAATCCAATCTCTGGTCAAGAATTCCAACGTTTCAAATCTACTCTTCTTGACAGCTGCAACCAATATATTAGCACAAAAGTAACAGGCAAAAGTCTACTGACAAAAGAACATAGAAATCAGATAAAACTACTTAGAAATAATAAAGACTTGATCATAACACGTCCAGATAAAGGTGCTGGTTCAGTGCTGCTAGATCGCAAGAGTTATGTTGAAAAAATGACAACGTTGTTATCAGATGACACCAAATTCTCAAAACCCATCAATGAGAAAAACAAGACTGAAATTATAGAAAAGCAACTAATTGATGTCCTTAAGAGAATGAAAAATGAGCAGTTAATCAACAAACAGGTCTTTGAGCACATAAAACCAACAGCATCAATAATACTGCGATTATACGGTCTGCCAAAAATACACAAACCTGGCCTATCTCTTAGACCGATTCTCGATATGTCTGGATCCCCTTACCACCCTATAGCAAAGTGGTTGGCGAATCTCTTAGAACCCGTTAGAAAACTCATTTGTAAACATTCCGTACGTGATACTTTTGAATTTATCGAGCAAATAAAAGAAGTGAATGTAAATAACAAAATTATGCTATCTCTGGATGTGGAATCATTATTCATTAATGTTCCACTCACAGAGACCATTAATTTTATATGTAAGTACATAAATAATAATGAGATAAACATTGGGATACCTGAGGTTTATTTGAAGGAACTATTACTACGTTGCACTTGCAATGTACAGTTCACATTCAACGATGTAATTCATAGACAGAAGGATGGTATAGCAATGGGATCCCCACTTGGTCCATTACTGGCAGATTGCTTCATGGCCAGTTTAGAAAACAACCAACTCAAAAGAATTATAGAAAACCTCCACTTGTATAAAAGATATGTGGATGATATCTTTATCATTTGTGACAACAAATGTAACTTAAGGGATCTCCTAGAGACATTTAATAATTGTCACCCATCAATAAAATTCACACTTGAAGTTGAAAGCAAACAAAATATTCACTTCCTTGATGTAGATATAACAAGGAAACAACATGGTACTTTAAAAAGATCTATCTACAGGAAACCCATGTGGAATGGCCAACTATCAAATTTCCACAGCTGGGTTCCCATCAGCCGAAAAAGAAACTTAATAATAACTCTCGCCACAAGAATACAAAGAATCTGTAGCTCCGAGGTCGTAGAGGAAGAATTGAGTTTTTTAAAAGAGATACTTATCAAAAACGGATATCCTATATTCATTGATAAGAACATGAAACCGAAAATGCCAAGACCACAAACAATTGCAGTAGAAAAAAAAATTTTATACATGAACATCGATTTCAAAGGTGATAGAGCCGCTTATATCTTAAAGAGGAGAATTTCAGATTCTTTAAAAAGAACATTTTTCGCAGCAACATTGCGAATATTATTCTTCAGCCGATCACTGTTCACCAGTAATCTGAAAGATAAATTATCGCATCTGACCAACTCAATGTGCATTTACCAATTTACCTGCTCTTGTGAAGCTAGGTATATAGGTCGTTCGATGCGTACTTTATCCAAAAAAAATTCAAGAACATTGTCCGGCGTGGCTAAGAAGAGGAGGTAATGGCTCAATAAGAAGTTTTATAATCGAACACCTTGTGAACACAGGTCACTCAATCAAGACAGACTCTGTGTTCAAAGTCATCTACAAGGTAAGTAGAAGCCTTCCTAAGACAATTAGACTGCATCGTCTTTGCATTGGCGAGGCAATAGCCATAAATTTTGAAAAACCAGAATTATGTGTACAAAAGAGACTGGCACAACCTCTTCTTCTACCATGGTCTTAATGTATTAAAAAAATTTTTTTTCTCTTTCTTCATACTCTTGTTATTTTACAGCCACCTGCTTCACCTTCCGTCTTCCCTTCAAATCTTCTACCCCCAACCGGTTTGTTTTTATTTCCACGATCATTCCGATTACATTTCATCTCTGTTTCAACATTTTATGTTATTTTATCATGCTGAGCTACCCTTACCCGATGAATATCTAAGCCATTAACTATCAAACTTTCCTTGTTTTAAAAATTTTATTTCTAATACCTTTGTTTATTTAACCTCACTGTCACTATGTATAACAGAAGTTTATTATCAGTATTATTATCACCCTGTAAAAATAAGTATATATATTTGCGATTGTACAGCTTTGAAAATGAATTCGCCGAAAAGGGAACTCTTCG